TTTCACAGAGAGGAAGAGAGAGGGGATAGAGAGTTAGAAACATCGATGAGAGAGAAACATCGATCAGCTGCCTTCTACACACCCCCCACTGGGGATGTGCCCACAACCAAGGTACATGCCCTTGACCGGAATCGAACCTGGGACCTTTCAGTCCACAGGCCGATGCTCTATCCACTGAGCCAAACTGGTTCCGGCACTGCTGCTTTATATGAAGTCTACTTACAGGCACTTTAGACCACCTCGACCAGTAGGCAAACATTAGGCCTGTGGGTGAACAGTCACGCACCTTGTTGTATCGTGGTGTTTTCACTGTTGCACTCTAGGGACACCCTTCTAGAGGGAGGAGGAGCTCATACTGGCCTCCACGCCTGACACGTCTTCCCTTAACCATGAAGCCTCTGGTCTGTGGCTCTGTAGAGGGAATGTTAGGCTGGTGGTAAGTGGCCTGTACTCTAGGTCTCAGCGATGTGACCCAACTAAGCCATGTAAGTGCCTAGTTTCCTCATCTACCAACTGGGGATAGTTACAGTAATGCACTGTCGGGGTTATTCTGCGTTTCAGGGGAGCTAGTCCTTCGGTGAAGTAGGCTTGGTTCAGTGCCCTCAGTGCCCAGCAGTCAAGAGCAGGTACTAGTACAATTGGCAAGACTTTGGCTAGGACTGCAAATTGCCATTAGGCGGAGGGGGTGGTACGGGTGGGGGTGACATTGTGACTTGTGAAACGGAGTAATGCATTCTGGCTGGCATGGCTCAGTGGTTGAGCATTGACCTATGGACCAGGAGGTCACAGTTCGATTCCTGGTCAGGACACATGCCCAGGTTGCAGGGTCAATCCCCAGTGGAGGCATGGGGGAGGCAGCCAATCAATGATTCTCTCTCTCCCTCAAAATCAATAAAAAATATATATATATGTATTGTTTTACAAAGTGGGTAGGGCAGGTCAGAGGGATGATAACTGGGGAGTAAGCTTGCTTCTGGTGCCAGGCTGTGTGTTGGAATCAGGGTACAGGTCTGTAGTAACTCCAAGGCACACGGAGGAATGTATGTAAACCTCAGTCTTTCAGAAACATTTCTTTCTGAAAAATAAGTTGATTTTCTAAACTTGTTGAGTCTTGACTGCATGTGGCTGCGGCCCAGAAGGTTTCATATGTAGCTTGCCCAACCTTGTTCATTGGTTTCGATGGTATGACTCAGAATGTTTTTGCTTAAAGGGCAGCAATTTGATGAATTTATATTCTAAAAACCTGGTTTTATATGCCTCCCAAATCAAGTGAAACTTGTGGCTAACTGTGAATTTAAAAATCAAATGGACATTTGAATATCTATTTTGTAAATCATCATGAGGAATGTAAAGGAAAATGTCTCCTTTTATTTAGCTAATAGGCTATAGTCTGTTAACAAAGGACAAATAAATTTAGTTAAGTGTTTAATGTTTCAGTGTAGATGATGATATTACCAAAATTTACTTACTCTTGCCTGTAAAGGAAATTTTAATAGTTTTATTACGATCGCCGTTATAATTCTACATTTATAATCATAAATGCCTGATTGAGGTATGATTGACAAAGTATTAAGATATGTAAAGTGTACATTGTGGTGTTGTATGTATGTACACATTATGGAGGGGTTCCCACCATCAAATTAATTAACACATCCATCTCATATATTTATCTTTTGTGTGTGTGTGTGTGTGTGTGTGTGTGTGTGTGAAAGAGAACATTTAAGTTTTGCTCTCTTAGCAATTTTTTAAAATTTGTCTTTATTGTGGAAAGTGTTACACATGTCTCCTCCTTTTCCCCCCTATTGACCCCCTCCACCCCACAGTCACTCACCCCCCAGGCCTTCACCACACAATTGTCTGTGTACATGGACTATGTATATATGCATGTAAGTTCCCTGGTTAATCTCTCCCCCACCCAACCTTCCTTCTGAGATTTGACGGTTCTCTGCTTCTGTGTCTCTGGATCTATTTTGTTCATTTATTTTGTTCATTAGATTCCACATATGAGTGAGATCATTTGATACTTTTCTTTCTCTGACTGGCTTATTTTGCTTAGCATAATACTCTCCAGGTCCCACCATGCTTTCTTAAAAGCTAAGAGATCCTTCTTTTTTTTTTTTTTTTTTTTTTTTGCAGCTGCATAGTATTCCGTGGTGTAAATGTGCCACAGCTTTTTTGTATATTCATCTACTGATGGGCACTTGGGCTGTTTCCAGCTCTTAACTATAGCAGATTTCAATTATCAAGACTTAGGTATTATCAGCCTTAGTCACCATATTTTACACTAGCACCTCAGACATTACTCATTCGATAACTGAAAGTTTGTACCCTTTACCTACCTCTCCCGATCTCCCATTCCTAACTCCTGGCCTGAAAAGAAAAATTAATTAATTCAACAAACGTATATTAAGCCTCCCTCTATGCTATCCACTTTGCTAGGCCCTGAGGGGCAGAATGGAGTAAGATACTCTTCCCGTTCTCAGGGTGACTCGTCCAGAGACGTAGTAAATAGCGGCTGTGACAGAAGCACCATAAAGGGGAGGTGTGGCCCACTGCACACACAAAGAGGTCCTGATTCTCCCAGGGCTTCTCACACTGCATGTGTGTTTGAGTCGCCTGGGGATCTTGTTAAAGTGGAGATGGTGACTCATAGATCCGGGGTGGGGCTGCCAAGGATTTAAAAGTATGTTGGCTTTGTATGCACCAGACAAAATAGAGGGACTAGATGGAAAGGAGGCCATTTCGCTCACAAAGATGTTCTTCAGCAGAAGAAGAGAGTGTGAATGAGCCAGAGCGGTAGAAATGAGGGCGGAGGCATGGCAAAGCATAAGGGGGAAGTTGGTAGGAATCAACCCTTTCACGCCTCTAGAATTAAATTCTCATGGAGAGCATTGAAAATAATATCCTGTAGATAATGGGGAAATGGAGCTTTTTAAATTGAGTCATGACCATAGTTCTTGTGTTCAGGGGGTCCATGTGATGGGTGGGGAAGGATAGGAGGACTAATACAGTAATTTAGGCAGGATATCAGGGGTTTGTAAGGATTGTAGGACTTGAATGGGGAGGAAGAAGACTGTTTTGAAAAGAAACAGTTCCTAGTGAATTAGAATAGTAAAATCCTGGTGTTGAGAGAAGAGTAGGCTGGTTGCCCATAAGAAAGAACAGTGCAGGGGTGAGGCTGGAGGCAGGGAGAACTTTAATTTGGGTGACTTTAGATGCCAGCCCTAAAGAGAGTCAGCTCCTTTTTCTTTTCTTTATTTATTTTTAAATATATTTATTGATATTTTACAGAGAGGAAGAGAGAGGGATAGAGAGTTAGAAACATTGATGAGAGAGAATCATCAATCAGCTGCCTCTTGCACACCCTCTACTGGGGTTGTGCCCACAACCAGGGTACATGCCCTTGACCGGAATCGAACCTGGGACCTTTCAGTCCGCAGGCTGATGCTCTATCCACGGAGCCAAACCAGCCCGGCTCCTTTTTCTTTTATTAAGATGAGATTTTGGCAGGTGAAAGCAGTGGGACAAAGCAATGAGCATTACTTTTCAGACAAAGTTCTCTTCTCACTAATGGCACCATAAGTAATATGCGACACCATCATTTTTATCCAAGGTCTTGTCATTTTTTTGACATTCCTCAGTATGTGATACTTTTAGCATTGAGAGACTTGGCGCTGGATTATATGGTCAACTGGGAGCTAGAGGGAAGATGATCCCTGTGTTTTGAGGCTGGGAAAAAGGCAAACTAGACTTACATTAGCATCAGTAGGCAGGAGGTTACCTGTCCAAATGGAATCCTTCAGCAAGGAATTGGAAATGTGAGCAGCACTGGGGTTCGGAAGGAGGCGAGGGCTGCAGGTGTGAATGTGGGGTTCGGAAGGAGGCGAGGGCTGCAGGTGTGAATTCATACAGGGCTGGGTTAGTCAAGTGAATAAGGTAGACTCTGCAAGAGGTGGGTAGGAAAAAGCCATGAGTGAAGGCTTGAACTTGGGAAATGCCCACATTCAGACTGTGAGACAGTGTGACTTCAAAGATGCCAGAGAATGCGAGGCATATGTATTTTGTTGACAAATGGAGACACATCTGCTGTAAGAAAGGGAAGGTTGAGTGGAGATCACTTAAGTTTGGCAAATAAGGAGTAAAGATGAACAGTTAAGAGGAAAAAAGAATACTGCTAGTAATATAGCAATATAGCTCCCCCTGGTGTTAGACAGTAGGCATTTTCTAAGTGAAGTTTTTTTTGTTTTGTTTTGTTTTGTTTTTCTTCTTCATCAGATGGATTTATTTCCCCCTTTCTGTTTGGTTGTTTTAAAATTTTCATTTTTTTTTTTTAACATGGAAGCCTTATGTGTGAATGGACTCATTTGTGTACTTTTCAATCAACAGCCTGGGGGGAGTCGTGTCAATTTATTTATTCTTTGATTTTAACTTTGCCACAAGCTTCTATCTCATATGGCTCTTTCTGACTTACCCCTGCATCAAAGAGAATACCAGTTAAGTACATGAGGTTCTTTGGTTACAGCCAGCCTGCTTCTAAAATATCAGCAATAAATACGTCTAGGTCAGTGGTCGGCAAACTCATTAGTCAACAGAGCCAAATATCAACAGGACAACGATGGAAATTTCTTTGGAGAGCCCAAATTTTTTAAACTTAAACTATATAGGTAGGTACATTTGTTATTACCTTAATTGGGGCACTCCTAAGCTGGCCTTTGCTAAAAACTCAAAAGGCCAAAAAGCCACATGTGGCTCACGAACCACAGTTTGCCGGCCATTGGCTAGGTGAAAACTTTGTCTAGAGTTATATGATTGGGAATATTCACTTTACGTTGTCAGTGAGGAGTTTATCAGTGTCTATAAGCGTCTATAAGCTGATAAGCATCTATAAGCGTCTATAAGCGTCTATAAGTTTATCAGCATCTATAAGCTATCAGCGTCTATAAGCTGATAGCTTTCTAAATGAATAGCGGCCGAAACTTCTTTTTTTCTTGCCCCTCAAGGAAAATCTACGTCTTTGAAAACTGCACCGCCGTCTTGGGTGAATTTGCCTCGACCGCTTCCCAAGTCCAGCGGGTCCCTGAAAAGCTCCGTGCTCCGGCGGACAGGCAGCCCCTCCTCCATCGCCAGCACCCACAGCGACCTGAACGCTTACAGCAGCCATTGTGAGTCCGTACTCTCATTCATTGTCATCCTTGGGGGGTTGTTGAAACGGTGGTTACATGAAGGACCAGTGCCCTGCAAAGAATTACTAGGCTTCTTGGTTCTGTGATTTATGAGAACATATGCGTGCTGCTTCTTCCTCCCAAAGTCTTTTCTTTTTTTTGCTCTGAAAGTTTGGCAGGAGAAAGATTCTCTCAACATTCTCTTTGGATGAATGTGCTATGAAACATTGAAATATTGGTGTTTAAAGGGACCTGGCATTTTTTTAAAATAGGGATTCTAAGGTGTGTCATTTGAAGTGATGGTGTGTTTTGGTTTAAGGAAAGAAAGCAATCTAGGGGGCCATTGGAACCCAATTGGAAACCAGGAAAAATAAAACTTCAGCTCCATTTATTTAGTAAAAGACCACCTTTTGTGGGTGTGTGCATTATAATCTTTGGACACTAGGTTCAGGGTCAAATGACTAGTATGTTAGTTTCAAACCTACTTTTGTGTGATTTAAACACAGGAGGATATTTTTAATGTTAATGTGAATTCTGTTTTCTGTGTGTAAAAAGGGTGAATTAATTGAGTGCTCCCTTGCATTCAAAAGGTGTGGTTGGTCTTGGTACTTCTTTGCTCGTTGAAATTTTCTCACAAATGTAGTTAATTTCAACAATTTACGAGTGCCTGGTTGTGTGTGGGCGTCGTGATCGATGCAACGAGAGGTACAGGTTATAGAGGAATGGCGCTCTCTCAAAGGAGATGAGAAGAAAGAAGATATGTACGTGAATAACTAGAATAGCAGACAAGCAGGATGTACGGGGTGAGGGGAGGAGGGGAATTCTTTAGGGAGGAATCCATTTCTTTCTGGTGAGGGGCCAGGGACCAAGCAGAGTCATGGGTAGTGAAGCATATTACAGGGTTATCATGCACTATTTTATGTTTTCCTCTCAAGTAATTCCTGTTGTAACTGATTATACACTGCGTGGCCAGATTAGTATGATCTATGAACGCGTAAGGCCACTCAGCGTACTTCTCTCGAGCACCTCATTTATTGGATATCAAAGATACTGTACATCGTGCACCTGATCAGTTTTCCCCTTTGCACCGGCTGACAGAAAGCTCGGGGTGCATAGGTGGTTGATCTCCAGCAAAATACTCTAGAATACTTTTGGTACCCATTGGAGACTCAAATACATCAAGTGGCCAGATGATTATGCGTTCAGAGATCATCATCATCTGGCCCCTCAGTGTCTAAGGTTGTCACTGCGCCAGGGGCACCCAGGCAGCGTGTGAACCGAAGGGACGCGCGTAGGGAGGACGAGGCATTGAATGAATGAGCGCGTTTCTGAGAGCTCACGCAGCGGCAGTGGCTGGTCTCGTGGTCGGAAGGAGCTGGACACCTGAACTCCAGGAATGCCGGAGCATGCTGCTTACCATGGCACGGGATTCCTCTCTGCTTACTGCCTGCACTTGACGACGTAGCATGGAGTCAGAGGGGTTTGCACGGAGCAGAGAATTAGGGATTCATTCGGAAAGGTGATGCTGTGTTAAGGTCACTCCGCTTGCCGCGCTCTCTGTGTGCACGGCGAATGTTGCAAACCAGCAGCACCAGCAGCATGCTCTCGGGGGACCCCTGACGTCGGGATCTGTGACACTGGAAGCAGACGCTCTGCAGTGTCTCCACCCCGCCTTTGCCATTGACAGCCATGTCGACATGGCTACCGGTTCCGTGGCCTGTCTGACCCCCCCTGAGGAGGCTGCACACTGCCTTTGTCTACTCCTTTTTGTCTTGGAACAAAGGGCTTTCCCCTCCACCCTCCGAGCCTGCCTGGCTTCCCTGCTGCAGAGTAAGCATCCTGATCAATGAGCCTCTCTCTCAGCGTGATTTGCTGGCTGGCCCGATGTGCTCTGTGCCGTGCCTCGGAGCTCACGGATACCTCCCCCACATCCTAATCCACCGAGTGCACGCATGAAGGATGTGGGAGCGAACATGGCTGCAGCGTTTCCTGCCTGAGCTTGCTGCGACCCACTTAAATGACTGTGCCGGGAGGATTCCGCAGCTGCACAGAAACGGAGATTGCTTCCACCGTGTTTATCAATTCGACCCTCGCCCCGCCGGCCGGCTCCGAGAGGCACTATGATGCTACCCTGCTGACGCTGCTGGTGCTGGGGTCCTACAGCCTTTGTGTGGCTCCTTTGTTAGCCTCGCTTGCCGGGAGCAGAAGTACGTCGGGGATCTCTGGTTTGGCTCTTCTCTTTGTAAGCATGCTCGCGGTGCTATTCCACCCATCGGTCTGGCGTCTTTTGCTGTTTCTGTAACTTGGCGATTTATGTTAGTGGCGGTGTTTCTCAGACAGAGTTTAAGTTGTGAATGATTCCATATGGATGCAATTTTATTGTATGGTGTGCGTGTTTCCGAACGCCCCATACGTCAGTGGCACTGTCCGTGTTCTTGGCACACGGAATCACTTCATTTTCAAAGATTATCGGATGGTCTCCTTCCCAATGAAATAGCCAGTTGTTTGTGTGTGTGTGTGTGGCTGATAGTCGCATGGCTATGATGAAAATATTTTTGTGGAATTAAAACGAAAACGCGTCTTTATATCACTGGTGATATTAAGAGTATTAATGCTGTGTACCTTAAGACATACACCGTTCTGAGCTGAGGTTTTCCTATTCTGATGGTGGGGGCGGGTCATGTTAGGAAAGCATCTACTGACCAGTGCTCGGTTCATATTGGGTGGAGCACTGGAACCCCGTTAAAGAACACTCGCTTGGCTTTGTCTGCTCATGTCTTTGTGATGTGACAATGTCAGGGCATCATCGGAGAACTCCGGAGGCTACGTAGGGCTGCTGTAAAATGAGCCCCTGGTGCTGGCTGTGCGGAGATCCTACGCAAATAGCATTGCCAGGTTTTAAAGCGACCGAGTCAAGATATCTAAGATAGGAAAGCTCTGTCACTTGAGGGTTTCAGAAGGCGTTCTTTTGTGTTCTTTCAAGCCTAGAAAAATGTAAAGTTAGGATATAAATTTTCCTTTTGTGTGGTAGCTTCTAGGTCAGATGTGCTCATTTAGAGAGATTAAACGCCTTCAGCTCTTCCTGAACCAGTTAGCTCAAGCCCAGTTTTTTAAAAAAATATATATATTTCTTTATTGATTTCAGAGATGAAGGGGGAGAGGGAGAGAGAGATAGAAACATCAATGATGAGAGGGAATCACTGATGGGCTGCCTCCTGCATGCCTTCTACTGGGGATCGAGCCTGCAACCCAGGCGTGTGCCCTGACCGGAATTGAACGTGACCTCCTGGTTCATAGGTCGATACTCAACCACTGAGCCATGCCGGCCGTGTTGTAGTCCGCTGAATAAAAATAATATCACTGAATAAATAAAAATGAGATCACTGAATAAAAATAAATGATCTGCAGATCTTGACAGAGGGGAAGGTTGGAGGACCATGGTGCCAAAGCAGAAGGGAGTCGTCGGAGAGTCTAATTTCACCACATTGGCCAACATGAAGTCCAAGGGCTTCCCTCTCTCGCATTTGGGCCCCCCAAAAACATGTTTGTTTTTGAGATAGATGGTGAGAGGAAACATAAGAGACGCACACCAAAGCTGTTTTCACTCTCTTGGAAAGTGGAGAACAGAGGAGGCTGATGAAAGAAATGGAACCTTTTATTTCACCTTCATGGCCAGCTTGGCCCAGGCGGTGTGATGCGTGGAAAAGGTTAATTGAACTCGGCTCCTGCTAGTTCTCCTAGGAGCTGATGTGATGTTGGACAGGGACGTTGGCTCCCTCTCTGAGCCTCCGTGTTCTCACCTGGTGAGTGGGAGGGGCGGGCCAGGCACTTGTATTTTCTTCATTACAATAGACTGACTGACCGAGCCTAATGGTTTGGAAGGAGGTGCTTGCTGTTGTTGAAGTGAGGAAGCTGGCAGAGAGAAGGAGGGGTCTAGTTTACCCGCCGTCTCTTCCTCATTGCAGGGTGACAAGTGGGAGGTGGTTCACGGCCAGCCCTGGTGGGTCGGAAAGAATCAGCTGGAGAACAGTGTTGACAGTTTTTCACGCTGCTTCCAGGTTCTGAGCAAACGTCTGAGTTTGACTAGTGATGTCTGCCAAGGGGGAGGAAGGGCTGGCAGACAGGCTGTATTCTAATAAAGCCTAATATGGTAAGTGTCCAGTTGTTTGATCGGCCATTCAACCAATCAAAGCATAATATACTAATGATATGCTACGGCTGCTCAACCGCTTGCTATGATGTGCACCAATCACCAGGGGACAGATGGCCGACCAGCCAACCAGTTGCTATGACATGCACTGACCACCAGGGGGCAGACCACTCACTATGACATGCACTGACCAACGGGGCAGATACTCTAACCAGTAGGCTAGCTTGCTACTGAGCAAGATGGATCAAATATGCCCTGGATCCCTTCTGTGGTCCCTTCCTGGCTGGCCAACCTCCCGAGTCCCTCCCCAACCCCAATCAAGCATCAGTGGGTCCTTCGGCCTGGACCTCTCGTGGGATGTCGGAGAGCTGGTTCCAACCTGATCCCACAGGCCAGGCCGAGGGACCCCACTGGTGCACCAGGCCTGTAGTATATATGTATACTCTGGCCCTATATTACAAATATATTTAATACTTAATGTGTGTCTAAATGGACCATTACATAAGAAAATACTATTATCCAGACTACTGTTAATTTTGTTGTTGTTTTTTTGTTGTTCTTTTAATGATTTTCCAGGGTATATATGAGACATTCTTGCTATCACAGAGTGGAGTAATTTTGCTTTTGGAGTCTGAAAGCTTAGATTTCAGTAGTGATTTGATTTTGAGCCAGGTGAGCAGATGATCTGGTGCAGTGGGGAGTGTTAAGCAGATCCCCCTCCAAAATTCAAGAACTGAACAGAATGTTGGCTCTGTGTGTTTATACATACTTTACTAAGCAAACCCATACTAGTGTTTGCTAGATGCTAAAACGGAGCATGAAATGTTTGTTCACAAATAAAATTCTAGAG